GATCGAACCCAGCTCCTTGCACTTTCAAGGCATGTTGAAACTACTGAGCTAAATCCTTTCTTTTTCTTTTTTTGGTACCGGGGAACTCCGGTCCTTGTGCTTGCCAGGCAGGAAGCAGAACCACTGATCTAAATCCCTAGCCCCCGATCAATGTATTTTTAACATAAAATGTAATTGAAGAGGTCAATATTTCTGACAATATAGGCAGGTTGGAAGAAATAAACAGAAAAATAAAAATGGGAAAGTAATTAAATAAAATAGAAATGTGGAAAAATGAATGAGGCAAGTTCTCTGGAGAGAAAAACTGTGAGTTCCAGTCACAGGCAAAGGGACTGACAGCCCCCAAATAAGTGGAGGCCTTTGAGTTGGTGATATTCCCACTGCCAAACTCTGACACAGGTTGTCAACAAGAGCACCGTGCACTTTTTTTTTTTTTTTTTTTTTTTTTTTTTTGATTTAAGGATTTGGTTTTGTCAATTATGTAGATTTTAAAAGATTTGTTATCCTTGGAAACTGAAGAATTTTCACTTGATCATTAAGTAATAAGGAAAATCTTGGATAAGCATTTGTAAAAACATTTCTGATTTATTAATGAATGGAAACTACTGAATTTTAGGAAATTTTTATTAAATCTTTTGTGATGAACAGTTCTTTTTGCTCACAGTCAGATTCATTTGCAGTATTTCTGATGGTTAGAAATTTAAAGATATAATACTATGTTAAGTAAGTCAAAGGGTGAAAATATGTGAGTTATCTTAAAACATTCTTAGAGTATTTTGTTCTTTATAAAACCACATATGGCTCTTATTTGATAAATTGACACAATTTTTATTAGTTTTGATGAAAGCCAGTTTTTCTGATTCTAAAATGCAAATCAGCAAAATAAGATGTATTTTGAATAATATCTGTGTCATTTTAATAAAAAATATTTACTAGATATAAATACATATTTACTTTTCTGAAAAAAAATAAGGTGTTATTTAACTTTTAAAATTTTGGATCTTTTTTTCTAACTATCCATCTATCCATCTATCTATTCACCCATCTAACTACCTACCTGTAATATTTTATAAAGGAGAAAGAAGGCACAGGAAAATTCTAATTGTTTAACACAAAAACAGAGCACAAAAATAAAATGAAACAGAAAAAAAAAACTCTGAGGTTTTTTTCATCACATTAAAAGAAACTAAAATAACCTCTTTCTTCTAGAAGGTTTATTAAAATAAGATCCTTAAAGCTATCTTCAGTTTCAATGCAGTACATCACACCTTCAATTAGCTGCTGAATCCTTTCAAATATTTTTACTAAAATAATGGAGAATACAAAGTAGTGCCATGTACTTGGAATTAATAAGCTAATGGTAGCAAAAATATACAAATAACAAGAATATAAAAAGTGCTAAAAAAGTTAACTCCAACAAAATGGAAAAGAAGTAACATTTCAATTGAAATAAAATCTCAAAAGGTCTAAGTCATTTCCAGAGGAAAACCATTACCTGCAAAGAATGTACCATTAAAAATATGATTACTTTTAATTGATTTTCATTTCTAAATTTAAAATTTTCAGTTTAGAAATAAACATTATTTTTCTAAAGTGAGATAATTTAAATAGGCAAAAAATAAAAATAAAGTAATAAAAAATGTAAAAGATACTGTGCTACTGATTTTAACTTCAATTGTACAAGGTATTCCTGAAAATTTTAGTAAGAGAAGGTGATAAACATATACCTTTTATTTTAGCTCATACTTCCTTCCCCTTAGAGGATATTTACTTTTTTTAAAGAAATTTTTTGAAAGTATTAATAATATGATGTAATATTTAACATCTACATGAGATAATTATTTGGATATGGCTATCCCATTTCTAAAGAAAGTTGTTTCTAAACTCTGTGCATTGAAGTAAATGTGGCATTACCTGTTGGGATGTTTTTCAAATAAATTAGCAGAATATATTGGCCAAGGCAATAGCTTCATGCTTCTGCAACATTTTGTATTTATTTCTGAAAAAAATCCTCATTGTATGAAAAGTAGAAAATATTGGTTATAAGGGCAAGCTCTGAAGGAGTTCATTGTTTGGTCATTTGCTATTTATTTCTAATGCTGTCTTCAGTATTTATAACAGCAGAACATTTAAAAAGTACTTAAATTTATTAAATGTGAGAGTAACAGTACTTACCTCTGTAAGTGCTATGAAAAGTAAATGGATAATATATTTTAAGAATTGAGCAAAGAAGAAACAGGCAGTCTTTCAGTCAGTGCATATGAGCTCTTTTGATACTCTCCTCCTTGATTTTCACATTGGAAGTCAGGTTTTTACTTTTTGTTGTTTATGTGATATCTTGTTAAAAAATAAATTAAATTGGCTATGTAAGTAAATTCTCCCATTTGAAAATAAAGAAGTATAGAACAGACAGACATTTTGTCCATATTAAAACCTAGGTTTAAACTTCAACCTTCTATGGAGGGTAATACATTTATACATTTCTAATAAGCTCCACTCGGGACCCTGTGCTTGCAAGGCAAGCAGCGGCATCACTGAGCTATATCTCCAGCCCTAAAAATAGCATTTTTGATATTGCAAGTAATTTAATATTCAAATGAAGTCTGTACTATCTATAATAAATAGTAAGAACTCAGTACGTTCTAGTCTTCTCTTAATTACATAGGCATATGGAAAAACATAAATACATCCATAGGTAAAGACTGACAGAGTAGATAGATTTTATAAGTGATGGAAATGGATGAAGACTTAGATAAGAGTCACGGAGGGAAATAGATACTAGAGACAGATGAAAGATCAGAGGAGATGTGCTCGGAGAAAAAAACAGAATAATGTTTCACTCTAGCAGTTACATTTGGTTACTAGAGGCAGGATTCAAGTGAATTTTTTTTTCACATTCCTAAAAGATTCTTAAGTTTTTCTTACATATTCCAAGCACTTAATAGATATTAAATGAATGAACAAATAAAATTAATGGATCAATCAAAAGAATATTATTGCCAACTTTAAAAATCATGTTTTAAAATGAAAGCCAGTTTTTCTTTCCTACATAATTATTAAATCATGTTAGTCTAGTTTATAGATTCATAATAATTTCCTGTATTTACAAATAAGGATGTGTGGAAACAATTTTCTTTACAGCAGGTATTGCTCCTGGCATTCTCATTCTTAGATTATTAATTATTTCACATGTAAAAGTAATTAAAATATAGGCAACTTTGGGCTTCTAAAATATAGATACCTTGCTGAGATATTATCTTTGATATCAAAATTAAATAGCTTTTTAGTATAACTCACATTTTCAGACGTAATACACATATGAGATTTTTTTTCTCTATAGGAGAAAATACATCAAATACAACCCCACTACATACTTTGTATAGTTAATTGGTGAAAGAGATCAGATTTCAGGTGAACAATAAGTAATTCGCTCTTCAGTTTTAGAATTTTAATGTTTTATTAGCAAAATTCCTTAAGGATAAAAGAATGCATGCAAACCATTTAATAAGTTTAGCTTTATGAGTAGTAGCAAAGTAGTAGCAAGGAAAAAAAAAAAAAGAAAAAAAAAAAAACTTTAAGGGCTGAGGATTTAGCTCAGTGGTGCCTTCGCCTGCCTTGCAAGCGCAATGTGCCCAGTTTGATCCCCGGTACCAAAAAAAGTAAAATAAAATAAATAAATAAAATAATCTTCAAAACTGTTATAGAGAAAGTTGTTATCATAAAATAGGACAAAAGTTATCGTATGGCACTTATTACTCTGAAAACAAGGCCTTTTGCAAGGTCAATCTTAAACCCAGCAAAATTATGTTCAGTAGATTTGTATTAATATATACATATATTTGGATACTGTTGTAAATATATAAAAATAAGTATATGTAAGTAACTATACGTGTGGGTGAATTTCTGTCTATGTAAAAATTTTTAAATGATTAGAAAAATTAATGACATAGTCAACGTATATATGTGAGGACAGATTAATTCAAACGTTTATTGTGAATCATGTTAAAAAATTACTTAGAATCTATATTCACTTGGTTTGAGTGTAGTTTATCATTTAACATTACTGAAATAATAAATATTAAATATATTTTAAAACTATTAAGATTTTGAGGATAAATATTTTATCAACTAATCTAATGGTTTTTAATTCTAAAATCTGATTTGTACAGTTGCTCTTTTCATTTTAGAACATAAAATACCTTATTCCTAGTTTGAAGACATGTATAAAAAAGTATCATAATTCTCTACAAATGAAGCATTAGCAAATATTTCATTGTTTCTGAAACAAGGGATTAAAATTACTAAGAAAGTTAATAAAAAGCTTTATTAAATGAACTGGAGATAGACTTTAGATATATACATATTTATTAAGCAAATATCTTTATTATATATATATCACTATAAGCAAAGTATCCAATGATGATATTTATTTGATATCTATGAATATTTGAAGATAAGTCAACTGGAGATAAAACTTTCTTAACCATTAGTTGACTCTTGAAAAGTTATTTATAGCTAAAATGCAAGTCAAAAATAAGCCAATACTGGCCAGAGATAAAAGTCCAATCAAATTTTCATTTCATATAAAAAGAGTTTTTAATGTTATAATTTAGTACAATATAATGTGTGTGTGTGTGTGTGTGTGTGTGTGTGTGTGTGTGTATATATATATATATATATATTTATTTATTTATATTATATGCCCTATTTTTACTGTTAAGAAAAACTAATATAAGAGGGTAGGAAATACCTATGAAATAATTTTTGGCTAATTTCTCTTTTTAAGAAAATTAAAGTCTGATATTCATGGCCTTCCTTTGTCAGTTGTGACTGTGATATTGGATAGTTGCTTTTTGTCTGGTGTAATTGTGGGATTTGCTGTTTCTTTGATGTATTATCAATGGTCTATTCCACCATGATAAACTGTAAGTCTAGTACTAATAGGTTTATAATGATTGCTTAAGCTTTACACTTTGTAAGCATTGGAAGGCTTCACTCACCTTGTTCAAGTGGCTGGCTTTTAGCTGAAGTAGTTTTCATCTTGAGTGCCTCCCTAACAGACATGTCACAGCAGGAGCCTTTGTTAGTGTCTTGGTCACTGTCAGCCTGATCACTGTCCCCGTGCCCACTGTCTCTCAGGCTGGCTCTTTCTGGGTCCTTAAACGTGGAGCTACTGAAATACACATAAAAAAAGAAGAAGAAGAGAAAGTGTAGTCTCCACTAGTTTCAATCTGAAGTGCAGTCTCTTGCAAAGCAATTTTGACACGAATGCAAATGGAGAAGCTGAGAAAGTTATTTAATAGGCCTTACCTTTGAACAAACTGCTGCCTGCTGCCCATGTAATTGGGCTCTGCGGGAAAATTGTCTGTCTGTGAAAGAGAAGGAAAAAAATACGTATAGTTGTACACTGGACAAATCTCCTGCAGAGCAACAAGATTTCCTAGTGGAAAAATGATTAATAATTCAAAAATTCCCTTAATCTTCAAATTTGTACATTTTAATTAAATTGGAAATTGCTGACATGTAATTATGTACTCAGAACAATTAAATGATTTTGGTCCACAAATTACCTGTTAAAGTAAACAATGAGCCTGTCATAACTGGCATTCTCTGTTAGTACCAGGATGGATAACACTATCTGCGTTGTTTCATTACTTATAGATTAAGATTCACTATTTGTGGGTGGGGTAGGAAAATGACCTAATTTCTCCCCATTAAAAGTATGAATTATTTAATAATATTCATTTTTAAATATAATTAAATCAACTGCTGGGATTCTATGCCCTTTGGGGGCAATATCATTTAAAGTCATCTACTCCTCAAGTGAAAAATACATAGCCTCTGCTGAAAATTTTGCAAGGAACATATACAAGTTTTTCACAAAGATTCAAGCCTTTCACTCTTACCTATACCCCAGCTGTTAAAATTATATTAAAACAATCCAGTGGAAACAGGCATCACTTTCTGATTCTTAAAAACAAAGTGAAATAAAAAAAAATTTTAAAGTTATTTAAAACACCAAGAGTAAAGACATTGAGAAATCAGGCTTGTTTTGTGGTTGTTTTTACTGCTTCCAAACTGACATGGAGGTCTGCCAAAATGAACTGAATTCTCCTTGTATCTTGGAACAGAGTCTTTTGGGAGAAAAAGACTGGATCTTTCATAGATTCCCTATACTGTACATTCATACAAGTTGCTTCTTGCAGCTGACTTGGTGACAAAGCTCTTCCTGTTTTCTGCATCACTTCATATCATGCCATTATGCTGTGAAGCGCCGATGGTTGGTACAACACCCTGCAGCACACAAGTATCACTGACATGCTGGGCATGCAATTCACAGTGCAGAGGGCCCAAGGTAAGACTTAGGGTGGTGCAATCTGCGCTTTCTTTTAACAAGGCTAATTTAAACTAATAATATTCTTTTTTTTTCAGCATATTATTTGTCTGTAAACTATTATTGAAAAAAGTTATGTGAAGAAAATTTAAAGTATTATTTAAATTCCATTTTCTGCCACATGTGTGGGGGGCAGAAGAAAAACTAACACAAATTTCTTAATCTGTCTTTTCTTTTTTTAATCTCAATGACCTTTATCAAACTATGTGCAAAAAGATGAACTGGTAGATTCATTTCTGTCTCCTAACTATTTTTAATCAGTAGTTGGTAGAAAACATTTTTCACTAACCTATTGTACTAGTTTCTGGATTCACTGAAACATCTTAATTTTTGTTTTTCTATCGACAAACTATTATCTTTTAAGGGTAAATTGACCTTCTAGTAAAGTCAATAATGGGAATCTACACAGGTGGCAAAAGTGTAACTCTACATTTTTAATACTAGTTTGTCTTTTGAATTGATAAAAAGCATATATTCACCCCACTATTGCTGTCAGTTAAAAGGCTAAGCCTATGTATCTTAAAACATGTCAGGAACAGAGGATCCTGAGTAGTAAGGAGAAAGCAAAAGTTAATGAAAAACAGAAAGTCTAATTAGGAAATATGAATAATATTACAAATAGTCCTGTGTTTTAATGGTTTTACTTAGGGGAAGCGTCATGGAATAAGAATCTCTATTCGGTTAGACACAGAGAGGGAGACTGGAGAAACTTTTCTTGTCCTAACACAGCATCTACAAATGTTTGCATATTACTAAAGTTCTAAATAGTTTAAGCCAAATAAAAGATAAATAAATAAATAAAATACTATTCAGTAAAGAATGGTAAAGATCATGTGTAAATATTAGTACATTCAAATGTGTGTGTGTGTGTGTGTGTTTGTGTGTGTGTCAGGAAGTTTGATGAGACTGCAAAGGCATTGCTACCAAATATTGTTTTTGATGAAGAAACAGAAGAAAGGAGGAAAAGAAAGGACACATGTAGGGAAAGAAAAAAAGATAAAATCAGAGTGAAAAGTGAAAAAGTCAGAGAGAATGAGATACATGAAAGAGGAGTAAGCCAGGTGGAAGAAGAAAAGGAAATGTAGGAAAAAAGCAGAGTTGATTAATGATCACATCATTTGGAAAAGTACAATTTTAAAGGTTTACAAGTTAATCAATATATGGCTATCAGAATTTATTAATATACAAAAAGGAAAAAGTGAAAGCAAAGTATTTGTAAATCAGGAAGGGTGGAGGGGTTGAAGGAAGGGCAGGGGGAATAGGGAAAAACAAGAACCAAGATACATCATGTAAAGGTACAAGATCCCAACAATTAATGTAACCGTATTGTATGCCTAAATTGTAACAATAAAATTAATGAAAAAAATAAATTATTAATAATGTCTATACTCATGTAATAAAATATGTAGATAGGAATGTAAGAGATTGTATGAATGTATAGTTAGTCTAATGAAATGGTCATTTGGCCGCTAAAAAACATACAACTAATTTACTACAAAAACCACACAGAGCATAACATTTCAATTATGTAGATAGGCTTCAAGGGCACATGAAAACTAATTTAAATAATCTGAATGAGAAATAAGAGCAGTTGCATAGAAAAGTAAAGATAGAAGGAAAATTAAGCCGTATGTATTATAGCATTATTTTAAAGCTAGAATAACTTTAAAATATTTTACAACACTGTGTTCTAAAATTTGAGATTGAGCACATACAATTATCATTCTTAAATTTTGAGTCTTAGAAGAAAGTAAAATATGAGGTTAGGTAGTTGCATCATTTTAGGTCTTGGGTAATTAATATGCACGTTTGTAATTCTTGATAAATATTCTGTTTAATACAAAATGTATTCTCAAGCACAACTAGAACATGATGACATGTAACTCTTGTTTCAAGAATATAAAATACTATCATAAAAACGTTGTATCTGGAATTGACTAGATAAAAAAATGTTCTCAAGTGGATATTTTAAAACTTTAATGTATGATGATGTATTTAATCTATTAAAAAATCATAAAAATGAGATAAAAGTTTTCGTATAGAAAAAGGTCATTGTTTATTACCAGAGAGAGCTGAACTAACATAAACATGATTGTGCACTAAAGTTTTGTTGCTGTATTTTTTTTTTTTGGTTAAAGATGTTAAAAATGTTGAATTGTTTATTTTGCATAAGACAAAAAGGAAGCACTCAAACACTTAAATTGAAGGTTTGCATGATACAATAGTTTTATTATTTTCTTTTATACATTTCTCTACTTGCACTCAACAATTGTGTTTAGGAAAGATAATCAGAGGTTTTAGAAGCAGTAATCAATAATGAACTATACCTAAGATGTGCTGTTCATAAAACCTGCTCACTCTAGGTTTATTATGAAGCACAAATGGTAATTTCAAAAACAAGTATCTCTAAGAAAGTTTAAAAGAAGTATATAGTAAAATCGACACTTAGATATCTCCTAATTTGTTAAATTGATTTAATAGGCCAACTTACACATGTTTTAAGGTGAATTCTTGAAAACAGTAAAAAAGTTAAAAAGAAAAGTTTTTACTATTACAACATTAAAAATAAAAATTTTAAAGTGTATTAAACATTTGACAAAATTCAACAACTCCCAGTGGTAATAATTCTCAGCAAATGGGGTATGGGGAGAAAATGAGAACCAAGACCTGTTGAGTAAAGGTACTCGATCCCAAAGATGATTGTAAATGTACTGTATACCTGAAAAGTACCAATATACTCAATGAGAAGAAAAAAAAGAATAGAAGAGCAGCCAGTGATTTAGGTCACTGGTTCTGTCAATTGCCTTGCAATCTCAAGGACCCAAGTTCGATCCCCAGTAACAACAACAAAAAAGGTGTATCTCCAAAAAAGAAAAAAACAAAAACAAAAAAAACTACAGGCAGCCTCGTAGTTAGTGGCAAAAGTCTGACAGTTTTCCACCTAGGTAAGAAGGACATCACTGGGGCCAGGGATTTAGCTCAGCGGTTCAAAGGACATCATTGCACTGAAAATCATCCTAAGTTCAACAACGCAAGAAAAATGATTAAGGGGTATACAGATAATACAATTATATTTACAAATAATATTATTTTATGTGAAATTAATAAAGCATCAAAGAAACAAATTCCTAGAATGAATAAATGAATTAAGCACAGTTGCTACTTTTGAATTCATCACACAAAATCATATTTCTAAATTCTAGAATTATTAGAAAATAAAATATCTATGCAATTCATTTCCTTAGCTTCATAAGAATTACATACTCAGTGAATAAACAAATGTTTAAAAACTTGCATGAGATTTCTAAGCTGAGCATTTTATGATAGCATAATCTTAAAAAAATAAAATCTAAATAAAGGGAAAGCTATTTTATTTGTGTGGGTTGGAAGACTCAAAGTAGTAATGATGCTAGTATTCCCTCAAATAATGTATATTTATAATTCCTTTCAACTTTTAGCAGAATTTTCCATAAGTATAAACAAATGATTCTTAATTTAATTAGGAAATGCAAACAAACTATATTGGCAAAAAACATTTTGAAAAAGAATCAAAATGAAGTAATCACAATGTTCTAGTTTAAGACTTACTCTATTGAAGTCATGTTGACTAAGACAATGCCATATTGCCAAAATAGTGGGCATATGGACAAAGCCACCAGAGGATGCTATTCAGAAGTAGACATACGTTAATGTGGACAATTGATTTCTGACAAAGGTGCACAGAAATTTCATTGATAATTCAGTGGAAATGAACTGAGACCTACACTTCACTGTGTATGCACACACAGTGATATGTGGATGACAAATATTAATAAAATACACAAAAACAGCAGTTTAGAAAGAAAGTTAACAGGAAATCGTTGTGAGCTCATGGTCACGCAGTTTGCAGATATGCTTCGAAAGCTTGATTCAGGGAGGAAAAATGAATGACAGCTTTGCAAAAGACTGTTAAAATATTTAAATATATGTTACAGA